TTTGATTATTATACATTTTGTTTGTTCAGAAAACGGAAGCATATGCGATCAATGGTGTTTGTACATTTTCATCGAACACTTCATAGTATCGATTGCTATTTGCAATCATCATGTATGCCAAAGCATGTGTGCGGAATATTTCTATGGCATTTCACCAAGTGATCAACATTTGTGTATAGACTAAACGTCTTTGTGTTTTATAATTATAAAATAAATCACGTAAGAAATTCATAAACAAACCGAGCATTTATTAATATAAAAAAAATCCGAATAGAAGGCGGTGAGCAGGACACACAAGCACAGCATTGCTATTCATACCGAGTACACTGAACACTGAGTACACTCAAAGCGTGCTTACTTTCAATCAAAATAAACAGCTACGATACAGATGTGTACGACTGGTGCTCATCGTCATCGAAGCGATTCGACTTGGCAATCAAACCAAATTGAAAATATCAATCGAACAAATTGCGCAAAACGGCCACAATCATTGCAAATGGTTTTCTTAAAAATCATTTGTTTACAATTTTATTAAGATGGTGAGAGAAGAAAGCATGTACGAATAACGTGGCCAACAACAATTGATACGCGTGAATAAAAAAAAAAACACTTGGTTGCAGAATCAATTTGTTTAAGTAAATTGAGCGGGCAAAGTTTTCTAATTTATTTGTAAATTTTCTTTTTCTCCCACATTTGTTGGCATTCTTGGTAAATTAAAATCGTGCAAAAAGCTAGGAAAAGTCGAAATTCGATAGATAGTATTTTTTGAAAGAATGGGAATTTATTTTGGCACTGAAATGGGGCCGATTCACCGATTTACTTCGTTACTGACGCAATGTGACGAACCGAGTGGTACAAATGAATTTTCTCCACATTCTATTTACGTCAACTTTCCCATATCGACAACGGTAACGACGGCAATGATCAGGATACGACCAGCTCATACACATTCGACACATTCCGATTGAGGGATATATTGAGCACAATTCTAAGAATTCAATTTATAATACGCACATTGTATCAGTTGTTCGAATTGTTTTTCCACAATCACTATCTATTACAAATGCCATATCTCCATTACCTTTGACATGAGGCATTTCGTTTCGTTTGCTGCGCGCATATTTTCCAACTCTTCTCTGTAAAAGTGCCAAGACAAAAAGTCTCATTCTATACGCTCAATCCGCATTTGAAAGCATGGTCGGCAAGCAATGCAGCCACATACAACAAAATATACGCATACTCGCTATACTGTACATATTTCACATGCGTACTTTTCCGTCTGAAAGTTTCATGCCACCTCAAAGTTAAAAGTTTCAAAATGAAATGACCACTTGAAAAGGTTTTAAAGTGGTGGTTGTTTAAAAAGCGGATTTTGTTTTGTAATTGTAAGGTCTAGAGTTTATATATAAACAGAAAAGAAAGTTTTAAAGTATTCTGGATATTGATTCGAAATTTGGCTAGATGAAGGATACTGTGCATAAATGTGGTTTGAAACTTTCTAACGTGAGTGTAGAAAAATATAATTCATGAATTCCATGCGAAAGCATCGGCCGTCGCACAGATTGCACTCTGAATCGAATACAAAAAGGAATATCATTCTTTGTTTTACTGAATGAGAAGCTCTCGAGTTGATGCGGCATTCAAATGACAAGCGATCATGGAAAATCGCCAGCTCCTCATACACTTACACGCATACACACACACAAAAAAAAACTCTCGATAACTGTCTTCCATTGGAATAATCCAAGCTGTACAATGTACATGTGTTTTGATTGCTGTTGCGCATGTGATTTATATCAAAGCATGAATGGAAAACTCAATAGAATACGTGGGGCATTCGAGAATCGACCGAATACAACACGGTATAATATTGAACATGGTATAGCAGCACACAACATTTACGCACTTGTACACATACAGATGCGACTGCATCATAGCGCACACACGAAGGAGTAGTTGCGAAAATCGAACAGAATACTTTTCCAGTTTTTCGAACAGTGAGCGCCAGTTTTTTTTTGTTTGAAATGATGTTCAGTGAACATTTTGCCTTCGTCATAGCTGTGTGTGGATTTGTTCGCGCTCATTACATCCGTTCATCATAGACACCAGTTCACATACATATCAGTCTTCGTCAAAACGCCGAACGGTTCATTCATCAACGAAAATTATCCTCCACGACTATAAATAATCCGTATTTATCGCCAATCATCATACCTTCAAAATAATAATATTCAGAAGAAGAAGAAGAGAGAAGTTTTTGGAAAAACATTTGAAGTAAAGAAAAGTTCTTTATTCAATTTTTTTTTTTTCAACTAAAAACACACATACACCAATTCAATAGCACAAAAGCAACAATTTTCCCTTACTTTGTCCTTTGTCCTTAATATTTATTTCATATTTGTTGTTGTTTTTGCCATTTTTAGCCTGCATAAAATACGGCTTAAGCAAGCTGATGTTTATCACATATACAATTGTGTGGCAAGAGTGAAAAAAAAAGTTGACGACAAAGACCAACATAAAAAACAGAAATTTAAATTACATTTTAACAAAGGACAAAGGAGTGAAAGAAAAAAGTGCTTTTTCTGATATAAGAGCAGTCGTAAAGAAACCAAGTTGGATACGAGGAAAAAGTTGCAAGAAAAAATATGAAATGAACAAGAAAATAATATCGGTGAAATGTGTAAAAAAAACAGTGCTTTTTTCGCGAGTGTGCCAAGTGCTTGGAGATAAACAAAACACACGAATTTTCTTTATTTATTTTTCATACATTTAGTATATTTTTTCATGCGGTATTTTGTGCCATTCATTTTTTTCATGCGTTGCCCTTGTATGACTCTTGAAAAGTTGACATATTTTTCATAAAACTTTGTCACACTCACATGAATATACCCGATTGATTCGAATGCATTAAGAGTGTAAAACCTTTTTCAAGCTTCAATTCTCGAGAAAAAGCAAGAGTTTCATAGCATATATGTGAATAACATCCGACGGATTTTTTCTTTCACTCATATAATAGATTATTTACTTCTACTTTGTTTTCATGCACTTTACATGAACTCATTTTGCATGGTTTGCTCTGTTTTCCCTTTAAACTTGTGGCAAAAATCATACCCTTTTCATTTCTCAAAAGAAATCACATTTTTCATTTTCACCAAGCAGCATACAGATGCCATTTGTTCCCTTCAGGTGACATTATACTTTGTGCAACAAATCTTTTCAGTTTTCAGATCGTTTGATTATTTGGAATTGGAATTCCTTTCTAGCGAGTGAAATCTAACTAAGATCGATGAAAAGGTTTAGGTCACGCATTAATGAAAAAATCTATTTTAAAATTTGATCACGAGTTATTATTATTTACATAATACAAACAATTAGGCAAACAAAATTTGTATTTAATAATAGCTCGATTAAAATCAATTCATTCAGAGCATAAAAAAGACAAGAAATATGTCGCGCGTGGCCACAATTCCAAATCGATATGCACGTTCGTCGTGGATTTCAAGCCCCATATCATTGTAACAATACACGAACAAAAAAAATAAAACATACTTTTCGCATTATCTATTAAAAGGCGGCCAATGCACGATGGGCATTTCCACTCAAAAGTAGCGGCACAATGGGCAGAAACAATGCGAACATTATTTTTAATGTGACACCATACAACAGAAAAACCGTTCAGGTACCACACACCGACAAAAAAGCCGATATATTCTAGTCACGATATCCCGATTGAACTAAACGCGCGACAAAAAAAAAACACATTTTCAAAGTCTCGGGCAATAAATTTTTCAATGCAATTTTCCACGATAGTATACCGAGTGAGGCAACGCTCGTATTCACACGCTCAGCTTGCTTATAGCACTCTTAATACAGATTCAAAGTGCCACTGTTGCTGATTCTGACATCGGCCTCCGCTGGTTGGAAGAGATTTTATTTTTCGATGAGAGGGAAAAAAATTACGACCAAGTTTTTCCATTACCGCTATTCGTGGGTGCATTTAATTTAGTTATTCGATGCGAAAAGACGATTTTATTTTTATGAAAATCTGTGCGGGCAATCAACTTTGAGATTCCCCGTGACTTTTTTATTGTGAGATTCATTTTTACGGCTTTACTGAGACAATTTTCGTTAAACACCCTATATAAATGTTAGTAAATCTGTGTGTGTGCCACTCAAGAAAAGAAATGTTTATTTCAATGGAAATTAAAAATTTAAAGCAACTTGTAAAACTGTGTCCACTTGAATTTCTGTGATTTTGACAAAAGACCATTTAATGTATAGTTTAGTGAAATTGATTAATTCTTTTTTGTTCCTTATCGACCGCACTCTCGCTCTCTCACACATTATCAATCGAAAAGTACACATTCAATATTTGCGACGATGCATGCACATACGTAAAATATAATTTTATATCCGCAAAATAAATGAAAAACTTTCAAAACTTTTGAAAGTTCTTCACGTATATATATTTGCGATTGTTGATGACATCGACAACTTTAAAACTTCTAAGCTCAGTTTAAATAGGGTGACTTGCAGGTACACGTTCTTAAGAAATTGTCCCATTGGCCATTGAAATTTTAATGAAATGAAATACAAAAGATCGGTTATAAAAGTTCCGTTTTAAAAAGTTGCTTTAACGTAAAATCACATCCTAAAATACTAAGAAGTCATAAAATGTAGAAGTTGCCAAGTTTGAATGTTATCGAATCGAACGATGTTGAATTATAAGAGCCGAAAATGTGCGGGCAAATGCAATGCACGCTGAATGTTGAAAGCGAAAAATGTTGATTGTGAAATCATTGAATGATTGTTTTATGATTGGGGATAAGAAGCCAAATGCGTTTAATATTTGCAACGAATGCTTTTGATAGCGCTTTATTGGCTGATGATTTACAATTGGAAAGGAGAGAGAGAGTGTGTGTGTGTGTTAGCAAGTGGGGTAAAAAGTCCACACTATGCCAATGGTTACAAAGTCTTTTTGTGTGTTTAAGCGTATTTTTTGTACAGAAAATATATTTCATCTTCTTCCATATATTCGGGTTTTCCATTCTCTCTCATTCACTTTGAATGTTTCTTTTTCTTTGTCCATCTAGAGACATAAACTGATATTTATGCACAACTTCGGATACATAAAATTGATCAATCAATTTGCCAAAGTGGTAACGGAAAATAAACCGCAATAAAAAGTAGCACAAGAACATTATATGTGATGAAAGATGTGCAGCAAGTGAATTGAAAACTAAAGAACATCAACCAAAAACCAAGAAAACGAACAACAACAACATCGACGACGACGACCAAGAAGAAGAAGAAGAAGAAAATTTACAACAACCAAAGAGATATACACAAATGTAAAAACCTATAAAGTGATAAAGTGAAACAGCAAATCCATCTATGTACGGTGTATGCATATGTGTCTCATTTTATGTCGATGTATTGAAAAATCGACGGTGAAAGTTGTAAGAGACGGATAATAAATCCGTAAAATAAGCTGCTTCCCTTTTAATACCCTGTGTGCATGCAGTGGCAAATGTAGAAAAGCACAGTTGGCCAAATGGTATGTATTGAAAATCAATGTGCATATGCATGGAAATGATGTGTCTGACTAAATGTACAGTTTATATGACAATGATTGCATATTAAATAAATTATAGCCAACGAAAAGATATAGTTTATATTTGTTGGAAGAGAATGGGAACTAGGAAAGCTTTTGCATGCATGACGTTCTTTTTTTTAATAAACTACAAACTACATTTTGACCTGATGTCTTTATAATTGTTGTGTGCCGACCAACTGGCTTCTACTATCGTGCTGGTCGAATTTAAATCAAACCCACCAAAGAGTATAAATTTTTTTTGAAGTGCCGTTGAATGGGGAAAACGTTTGATGCAAAACGAAAACGACAGAAATAGAAATTTATGATTTTTATTAGAAATTGTTTTATCAATATATATGACAGCAATGAATAGAGAAAAAAAAAATCTTATCGGTGATTGTGTATGTATTTGTACAATGTGCGTGTGTAGGTGCGTGCGTATGGTTGAGAGAATATTTATACACATTTTATCTGTCGCACACATTTTAAGCACATGCTGCCTTAATATTATGCGGAAAAGTAAGTCAGCTGGAATGAAGAAACAAAAGAATTGACGAATCGAAAAGAGATCGCAAATTAATGTGAACGTCAATATGATTGAATAAATATTGGTATTGGCATTCGAAAGACTGTCGAATTCGGTATTGTGTGGTCGGTTGCTCGGTTGGGTATAGGGATAAAAAAAAAACGCTTCAAAAATGAACAGTACCGAACGAACACAAAAAGAGAGCACTTTATATGGCACAAAATTGCTTCTTCGATTTTTTATGGTCGTGAATGAACGACAAACGAACAGTCGCTTGAACTTTGTGCCCGGGTTCTTTTGTTTGTATGTATGTGACTGTCATAACCTAAATTAGTATATCCACCAGAATGAATGAACTATATATTATCTGTGTTGCTTCGCATTCTTTTCAATACTGGAGGTGAGAGCTGTGTCAGTTATTTATTTTATGACTCTTTATGTGTGTACGGAATGAAGTTGCTGTTGTTCATGTTTATATGCGATTTAGTTCTTCACTAAAAAGGAAGCGAATAAAGACTGAAAAATATGTAATAGTGTGTAGCGAATCGTTTTGCTTTTATCTGTCTTGGTTCTTTTACATTTCATTGGAGGCGGTATGGCATGCAAGAGAGTATGAAAAATGCTGATGCAAACTGACGACAAAATGTCAAAAAGCTCGATTGAAAAAATAAATCCAATAATTTGATCAAATAAGGGTGTAGCATATGAACGGTGTATTCTATTTTGGACGACAAGATAAAACAGAAATACACTTAGTTTGGAAGTTTTCAACTTGGGAAAATGTATAAATATTGTAAAAGTTACCGACCTTTTGTTGAAGGCGCTACTACAGCTATCAACTATACTTAACAACAGCACTCTTAAATCAAAACGCTTATATTGCAGTCGACCGGATGGAACCGTGGTTCAGATGGCACATTTTTGCGGTACAATTTAACGACTGAACAATTCAAACAAATAATATTATGACACTACCAATCACAAGCACCCAGAGAGAAAGAGAGAGAGAGAGAGAAGAAACTTTTGTGAAAATCTGTCATTTTTCCGTCAGTAACAAAGCATCTCGGAACTTTCGAGTTTCATGTATTTCTCAACGTTGAAGAATTTAGGATTGAAAACATGCTACACATATGTACAATGAAGAACACAATATACAAAAACATTGAAAAACTTAACCATATTTCACGCATACAATGTCACATGTAGAACGGTAATGTTGACACATGCGAAATATTTGAACGCATTTCAAAACAACAAACCACGTCTCTGTTATACTTTTGCACATAGAAACACCCACAGAAAATAATGTCGGTTGAAAAGTTGGGTGTTCGTGTTTGAATGAGCACAGTAGTTGAGTTGAAAAATAATAAAAAAATAAAGCACAAACCGAGAGACCAGCACAACAAATGAACGAACGAACTCAGCGGAGTCAACCGAAATAATAACAATAATCATAATGATTAACGAAATGAAAGTGCGAGGCAGTGTGCTTGTGTGTGTATAATGAATAAAATTATAATGAAAATGTGAGTGCAAAGTTGCTTTCAAAATCGCATCATACAATGCTCAGAAACTGGGGGATATATGGCTTAAACTTATTCTTGTACAACGACGAGAGTATTGAATGTGGAATTTTTACATTTTCTGCTTGAAATGAAATAAAATAAATTCAATCACAAATATAAATTTCGACGCCGTCTCGCGTCGTAGCATTTTTTTCGTATTTATATGTATGCGCAAGTATTCTGAAGCAAAAAATCTGTTTAGAAAAATGGATGCCCCAGCTTTTTGGGTTGTACAATGAAAATTACATAAATAAACATCATTTTTATTTTGTTTTGTTTTTTTTTCTTTAGCATTATTTTCTTTCTCTCATTGCGCAAATTAATGGAGTTATGGGTGTTTGTATACTCTTTTGCTGTCGGCCCCCGAAAACAACGTATTTTTAACATTCGAAGGACGCGCTACTTTGTAAATGCTTTTCCTTTGCATTCTGCGTTGTAGGTGTGTGTTTTTGTTAATGCTGCTGTAGCTGGCGTTATTTACATTAAAATTGAGAATTGATGTGTTTGTTTTAAATTAAATTGGTCGTGTGTATGAGAAATCCTTGTTTGTGAAACCGTCGAACAAAGAACGAAAAAAGTGGCGAATATTGAGGGAATGCGAGAGCCGAGACTCAAAAATGAATGGCAGAATGGCAATAATAACAATAGCCCAGGGGGATGGAAAAAGCTATGTGTAAATGAAAGTAAATTAACGGTTTACCTGTGCTGTAGCTTGTCAAGAAAAATACAAATATACGCATTAATAATAACACGAAACGCTTCGAGTAATTTTGCATGCAATTGTAATTATTCCGTGGATAAATCCGTGCGCCAAAGGAAACAAAAACCTAAACCAAATTTAAAATTGTATGTATATATTTCATGAGCGCTGAACATACAAATGACACATAGAGTATAGCACAGCAAGTACACAGCATAATTAATACACAAAACGACACTCGCTACTGACTTGCCGCTTTAAAATGTGAAAATTACAAGAAAATTGTTGCAAAACTGTCTACAGCGAATAACCAATGTAATTTTTTTTTTAAATGTTAAAAAAAAGAGCGACAAAAGTTTCAATGAGCCTGTGAAAACTTTCGGTATCACATCATACCGACGAGAAATAATTCTTGTCCAACACGAATTTGCAACAACAAAAAATGTATCCACATTATTTGAATTTATAACGAAACAATTAAGCTAGTTTGCAATGTTGATACGACTCAAACCGGACGCTGAGTTTTAGCTCCGGTCCACAGCGTAAAAATGTATGTGGAGAGAAATTAAACTGAAACTTTGCGCACAAATGAATGAAAAATGTAAGATGTAACGAGACTAAGAGCAACTGATAAGAGAGAGAGAGCAGAGAAACAGAGCTGAGCTCCTCTTTTAACATTAAATCCAATTTATTTACTTTGCAACAGCATATTTTGTATGGGAAGCATTAAAAACCGTACTCTGTGTACAAAAGTTAATGTAAGTGTAAATGAAAATGAGATGAGCGTCTCTTGCGTTGCTCATTTGTATTCTTTATTTAAAAAAAAAGAAAAACAACAACATTCTTTTGGTGAGAAAAACGAAAGGGAATCCGTTTTATTCGTCTTTTATTTTACTTTGACTGAAAAACTTTGTCAGGGCATATACATATTTTCCGTAATTTTATCTATGGCATGTTTTACAGCATCGGGGTCGAAAAATGTATGTGCTGAACTGAATGACGAAAAAAAAAGATATTTTTTTTTCCTAAGCAGTATGCATATTGCTTTTTATCTAAATCGGAATAATAATAATGAAAAATTGAAAATGAATGTGAGGGAACAGCAACAAACAAAATTGAAAATACAATTTAATCCTGGTGTTTTTAAGTGAATAATTAAACATCCAAATGAAACGGTTTGTTATTATTGTTGTTGGGGTTTTTTCTTGTTCAAGGGTGTGTAATTCGTGTTAAAGAATCCAACCATCAACGGAAAAGTCCGGGATTGTTTAAAGAGGGAATTTAATCAGATTGCTATCTGCGAATAACATGGATAGAAGATTCATGGTTTAAATTGTTTAATAAAATACAGACAGCTTTGTTTATCTTTTATCGTGCGATTCGCAGCACATCAGTGCTGGCCAATAAATGCTATAGAACATACGTTGTCCTCGGGAGACACACACTCTGTGTATGTGAAAATGAAAATCGCTGTGAAATTCACATTGTGTGTGAAAATCGGTTTCACATTGATGGAACAAGTTGCCATTTTACTGCTGTACTACAATTTGCCACTTTTGCAGAAAAAAAACCTTCTTTATGTCTATGATTGTTCGCCACGATTCGGCTCAAACGTAATAAATAAAATACAGAACACGTAATGTGATCAAAAAAGTGTATGTTTAATATGCCATTTGTATATTTTCATCGCGTATGCATAAACATTTGAATGGCATGTGTGCCAGCGATTCGTCGACACATAAAAATTGTTGGAAGTGTAAGAGCGACAGGATGGAAAAGATATCGATTGTTGATACAAACAACGCCTTTATGTGTGCTTTGTCATTTAACATCATCAATTCGAGGCGTGAATGCTCGGTGTGAGAATAAGCATGCACGAATGATAATGGTGTAGGCCACGCGCATAAAGCAAATGAATTGTGCCTGACACGCACTAGATTGCCCAAGTATCTGGAGACCATCTCCGTCGGAATCAGACAGTGAAGTTGATGGCATTAAATTCATGAGTTTGCAACACAACCAATCGTCCCAAACGAAAATAAGAACATACACAGTACACACCGCACACATACAAACCAACAAATCGTCCGATCGCTGTTCGTTGTCCATGCCATATTGCATTTTTTTTTTCGTATAATTCATGACATGAGCTTTCGATACGTAAATTTTCAACTGCAATGTAGCATTGAATTTTTTATTTTATGTTGCCGTAGTGTAATTTTGATGTTATTCGTTCCCTTTTTGTATCATACACTATATTCTTTGTTTTTCATTTTCTTCTTTTTATTGGCGTTTTGTTTTTCTTTTTCAGCTTCGCCTTTTTTAGTTGTTGTTGCTTTCGTATTTCGTCATTATAAAAGCAGCGTCGGCATGTATAAATTATAAGCCGAATGTATGTAATACGTTGAATGTGTGCTCATGTGTATCAGTTTGATGCGCGCTGTGATGATACATATATGTGAGTTAGATATTGAATGGCGATGATGGTGGAAGTGGTAGTGGTTGTGTTGAATCGCGTATGTCTCATCTCTAACTTTATTTTCTTCGTTGTGAATAATTTATTAGATTTCGTAAAATGTGTACGCTGCACTTTGTATGCTGTGTATGCTACAATGTTACATTTGTTAGCAACCGATTTTAATATATATATATATATATATCCATAACGGTATATGCGATGTACCAGAGATGCTATTGTGCGCTTAATTCTGGGTTTCAATTGCGTTCGCCATCTATATATTCATACGAATGAAATGATCAATGGAAGCAAATGTGCGGTGCGAAGATCTAATATTTGAGGCAAGAAACAAAAAAAAAATGGCACGGTGAAGAGCATGATATCATTTGTCGACTGAGAAAAGAAAAACAACAATAACAAAAAAATCAGTGTGCACGAGTTTTCGTTAGGTATTAGTTGAAACTCACTTGTTTACTAATAGCCGTGCTTTTATCAGCTTTGTTCAAGACAAACACTGCTTAAATATGGTGTCGATTGCTACCCCGTACATGCAATGCAAAATTTATTCATTTTTCTTCTTCGCTCTGTCTTTTTTTGGTGTTGATATTTTGTTTTTATATATAGATTCTGCTGACACATTTGGTATTGTATCTTCTGTTCCATTTGTTATTTAATAAATTACGCTCGGTTGAATTAACGTTGGCGCGTTCACTCGTTGACTTAAAAAATGAAAGCAAAAAAAAAGAAAAACTTCCAGTTGATGGGGTGCACGATGTTTAAGAAGAAACGTTCTTCCTATCTTTTTGCAATGCATGTGGTATATGGGGATACATTTATGACGTATGTTTAATGATTGCGTGAATTTACTGAATAGAACTCAAAAGTACATACATTGAAGTCGTTGTTGATGGTGGTTGTGTTGAAAATAGAACGCAACGCACGTAAGAATAATAATCCACGTTAGCGGTTGGAAATATGATTAAAACCACGATGACACAATGAAGACACTGAGGTGTAAAGTGGATTAAAGAACAAACTTTTCAAAACAGAAAATTATCTATATATGCGGTTAATTCTCGTACTAAATAAAGCATAAACAAAAAAGGCAAATACGCAACACATTCATTGTTCACTTTTCCTATACACAAGTTTCGTTTGCTGAATATAGTTGATTCAGAGTTTTGAAAGCCACAATAATTATTCATGACACACTTACCGCCACTCTAACACCCGCGCTTCCCAATTGCTATGTCATTATTTACCGAATACGAATGGTTTTAACCAATTTTGGGAAACTATCGATTGTAAATTCAATTAAATTGAGCCAATAAGCTACTACTGTCTGTATGTTAACATAATCGCCTGGTTTCTTTAGATTATATAGTCCCTTTTGCTTATCATACCATTCCAAAGTATATATGCCACAAAGACCAATTAATTTCATAACTTAAATAAATAGCATTCCATCTGTATATCCATATTTAACGAAATTTATTCGGAAAGGTTATTGATGTCATTGTGGTTTGCATAAGTTTATTATTATTACTATTTATTCTAAATTATTGGTATGGAAGGCAAGAGAAAGGGATAGTGGGAGCAAATTGACGAAATGAACGGTCAGTGAAAAGAAAATTAATCCCATTAAATGATAATGAGGTGACTAACAATTCAGATCATACAGATGACACATACATACACACATACAATGTGTATTTAACCTCTTTGTAATTATAGGTCTGAAAATGGTGTGATTGGAAATAGGGACACAATCATCTTCTTTGGGGAAAATTTTCGTCAAAAATATAAAAATAAATTATATATGCAGAGAGAAAGAGAATGCTTATAAAATGCGGCTTGTCAACATCAGGTATGGCTCGAAGCTACAAATTGATTAAAGTGTCGACTTGGTTGTCGTTCATGTATTCAGTAATATGTCAAAGTGGCAACGTTTAATCCAAAAGAGAGTCTATGCTCAACGACATCTCATCATACTAAAGCCGTCGCTAGCGCATCAAATTCAAATATACGCTGTCAGCTGAGCAGTCACTTGCATATATATATTTTAATACTTGACTGCACCGTTTTAATCTTGGGTACGAAATTAAATCTGTAGATAGCATCAAGAAAATTTATCTCATATTGTTCTACGTGTTTGTTGAGATAGCATTTCACTTTTTTTTCGGCTTTAATTTGTCACAGGTAGTTGTGGAAAAGCACAAGTTGAAAACTTCAGGCTTTCTCTCCCTTGATAGCATGGCAGAAAATACACAAAACGTTTTATTGCCTCTGATGATCTTTTTTTTGAATTGCACACAGAACCAACATATAGTTTTTGCCTTTAAATTGAGTTCGTATTTAAAATGGCTTGAACCGTGTTTGTTAGACTTTTCATCGACGTCAGGTATTGAATAGGAAATAAAGTTGTTTGAACCGAATCTCAATGGTGCAAATCCAAACAGAAGTTTTACTTATTTGTTCGTTCGGTGAATAGTTTTAATGAGCTTTTTCATCTCTTTTCCCCTGTGATTTAATTTATCAAGTGCAATATCAAATGAGTAAATCCTTTAAATAGAACAAACAGTTCAACATACGCATACACATTTTGAATATAAATGTAAAAGTTAAGTACTCTATTAGTTACATTCATTTGGAAATCGAATGGAAGACAGTTGAATTAAGATTCAATGTGTTGATATACACATTTGTTCTTTTTCAAAATTTCATTTCCGTTGTATAGTCGATGAGGAAATATTTTTGGAATTTGAAGTGCATGTTCATATACATGGGTATCTTTTTTCCTTTCAGATTTGCTTTCATTCGCAGCATATTCCGTGGATTGGCATAAATAAAATTGTTATAATTCTAATTACCATACACCATAGATAATTCATCCAGTCTATTTCCGTCATCATTGAACTATATCTATCGATAGAAAAAAGTGTTCGTTTGGCTGGGCATCAAATATGCTTGTATTTCTCTGTATTTCTCACACATCATTAGGCAAATGGTTTGCATATAAAACATGATGACGGCTCACGATTACAAAGTATTCTCCTACATTCCATGCTCATAAAATATAAACACATTCTTGCACTAAATTCAAGCCACAACTTCATAAACACATGCATAAACATAAAGCACATATTTATTAAAATTCACTAGTTATATGAAATTTATTCACATCCAGCTTAATGGCTATGAAAATCCATTGAACTCTTCTTTTTTCTTTTTCTTTTTTGTTTCAAACCGCGAACGTTAAATCTCATCAGATGTCAGTTATGCAGATTAACAGGCTCTGTGATTATAATGTGGTAGCTAAAGGAGATAAAATTGTGTGAGCTCACAACTCACATCGACATGAAAATATATGTGGAATAAAGCGTACGAGGTGTACGACCGAGTGGTGTTAACATATTTGCTCAATAGCTCATGATAAACGCCTGTTAAAATAAAGGAAATGAGAGCGAGCGAAATAAATTTTAGCTATATGTACTTTATATTTGGTACACGCTCGTTTCATGCCACTTAAATGGTTGAGCACATATTTATATAAAAGCTAATTATTATTGTCGTTGCTGTTAAATGTAGAGCATTGGAGATTGCTTTTATTGAAATAAATATGATGAAAATCGGTTGAGCAATCACATCACTCAATATCCATTCATTACGGTCAAGCGATTGGCATGAATAACATGGATTGAACAATCAATTTACGAAATAGGCGAACACTTTATGACAGTTTAGAAACGCATTTCTCTGTTTTATTTTAAGCACTTTTTTCTCTCTCGATCAATCATGTACGCAGTACGCACACGTATTAACTTGTTTTATATCGGAAAATTTCATTCAATTTTCTTGTTATTTTTTATGTATCCAAAGGTTATTTCATTTAATCTAATTGAAAATTGAGAAAATGCCCAAACATTATGAAAAGCATTTCGCACGAAATCCATACATGCGCTTTTTGAATAAAGCTTCCATTCGAAAAGATAACGAATTTTTTCTCATGCACACCAGAGATGGCTACGAACATTTGAATTCATGTTCGTTCGTGTTCGTTTGCGTTCTTCGCGAATACGAACGAACGCGAATCGAAAAAGAATTCTACGAACGAATGCGAACGACTGCGAACGAACACCTCATCCCCCTTAGCGAACACGAACGAACACGAATCGGAAAATTCTTTCTACGAACGAATGCGAACGAACACGCCTCTCTCTTTGCGAATGCGAACGAACACGAATCGAATTATTTTTATACGAACAAACAGTTTTTAGACGAACGCGTTCGTAGTCATCTCTGATGCACACACACACACAGCTTGGAATAAGTTGTGAAAGAGAGAGAGAGAGAGAGAGAGAGAGAGAGAGAGAGAGAGAGAGTAACATTCACAGTGATTAAATTAGCTACGAAAAGTTCATTGAGTTTTCGTAACTTTATGATTTCATTATAAACACGCATATATTTTCTCTGTGCAGACTACTAAAGACCATAAACATGATGGACAACTCTTGTTTGCATGTATATTTTCTTGGAAATATCGGATTTAATACCACATGAGAAACATTTAATAGCATTCACGTGATAAAAAAAACTTTTGGCAAAGTTTATAACTGGCAATTATCCGTTGTTAACGGAACGAATAGAACACCTTACACACTCAATGATGGCATGATATTCGGATGTCAATAAATGACATTCTTTTAGCATTTCACTTGAATGAAATCCAAATGACGTCTGGTATTACTTTTTATAGGCGTTGAATTGTTATCTCGTTTTACATTGCGGGTATACCGCAACGAATGCATGAAAAGCAATCGTATGGGTGATACAAGAACGCACATATATGAATGGTTACCATAAAATCCAGCAAATTACAAGTAAATTTACATAACGAGGAAATGGAGGGAAATGAAATGACAGCAAATTATCTATAGTTCACAGGAGTTTGCTCTTAAAAGCAAGCATCTCATACAAATAGGTAAATTATTGCATAAATTCTACATTTACACATGCATGTGTGTGTGTCCGTGCGCATATATAAGCTAAGCGAAACCTACAAATACACCAACCGCATCAGCGACGGGAAATTCGTTGAAAATTATGCATAAATATTAGGCTGATTGCCGCTATATTTTACGTTGCTGCCGACGACACATTCAACTTTGATGTTGCAATATAAAATACGACTAATTTTCATTTAATGCTTGACTCCGACTCTATCTTTTTCGTTTGCTTACAATGTGTCTCATCTGCCATAAACAACGATGTAGCTTTTTAGGTGTGTTGAGACTACTTGTTTGGCCTCACAGTTTGAAGCAAAGCCGAAAAGAGTTGTGCAATAAATGGGACAAACGAAAAGAGTGCGAGAGAGAAAGTAAAGAAAATGTGACACATTTGCTTGCACATTTGATACGAAAAGTTACGTCATTCATTCCCAGTGCACGCAATCTATGTAAACAGGACACTGTGTGAATGTATATAATTTAATCTAGCTACTTTTCTGATTAAAATCCAGTAGTTTATGTCAGAATGCTGGATTGTGGCAAACATTCAACCGGGTCCAATCTGATTTCATGAATATATATAAGGCCGCGTTCAAAACCGGGATTCTGGGAATGTAATTTTTTTTTCAGGAAATGTGCTTTTAAAGTCTTTTTAATGAGATTTCATTTTGAGAAATATAATGTTGCGCTTTTACTGTAGGATTTATAATACAAATAAAAAAGGTTGATTCAATAAAAGCCACTTTATAAACAGGTACCACAATCGTATTAAATATGAAAACGAGTTATAATGAAAAGTTAGTGAATTGTATTTGTGTGATTTGTTATGGCAATTCAGAGCAACTTTCTCACAAATATAAAAATCTGTAGTTTGATTCAAGCGAAGCACGAACTATTTAATTCCCAACACTAAAGCTCAAAAGACATACTCAAAACCACACACGAACTGTGATACGCAACGGAAACACTGATACGATAAAACAGTAGATAAATGATGTACACGTTTTTGCTTGTTGTTGATAAAAGCCATTTTGCTCGGGAATATAAGCGTAATGGCAAATATTTCGAAATTTCTCAAATTTTATTACATGTTAATTTTAACATGAGCCGAATACAATACCATTAGAAAATGGGATTACATCTCATTGTCACCGCTTGAATTTCATGCAAGTGAACATACAATTTGTACGATTTTCTCATATTTTCATTGGTTTTATCAAGTCGATCGCCGTTTTGCATCCATCTACAATTCTACATGCATGCCTCCCCAGTATGTTGAACAAATGTTTAATGGCAAAGACGTTGTCGAACTCCTTTCCGACTTAATCACAAAACTCTCAGCTCATTTAGAAATCATTCGATTCCACGTTTCACTTCGTATGGTAATGGTATAATGTTGTGCGAATTTTGAGACAAGCCTTAATGTGTCGTGCATGTATGCACAGTAAAACCTCTCCAAAAAATCATTTTCGATTTTTGAAAAATTTGACTTGAACGCACTCTTCGTTGTTTATTTTGATTTAATTATAATGTTTATGCGAAAGAAAAAAATCTTTTGTGTTATTCTTCAAACTGGATTTTTTCGGGGCTGTCTTATTTTAAAGAAGAAAAAATGGTAAATTTTGCATTTCCAAATATTGGAAACCTTCCAAAAGTGTATATTTTTAGCTTGATGTTTATTACGCTATTCGGTGGTTTACTGTGCGGTTCCAAATGTAAACAGCATGCGAGAAAATCGTTATGATGTTGGAAATGACAATGGTTCCGTTGATGATGATAATAATGAATGTAATCAAAATGATGGCCACACCATTCGCTCGTCTTATCACTGACTTTCAACTTCTGAATTCATTACATCTAT